AAGAATCATTGCCATAACCAATCTAAACTATTTTTTAAAATACAAATGTTCTGTAATACTTGGAAATAAAGTTATTGAGCAGAAGGTAAGCCAGCATAAAAATCAATTTAGTTTTGTTAAAGCCCTAAACAGCTAAAAGACAAGAACTCGAGACATAAAGTTTATATTTGCCTTTTATTAAGAACCTCATCCTTTTGGGAGCAGGGCCAAGATGGCAGACTAGAACAGGTTTATCACAAAGCTGTCTGTCTTGAGATGAGAGAAGAGGTTTCAGATAAATTGTTGGAATCTATACATCTTTCACATGGATTATTTTTTCCCCAAGACTCATTTTCTAACTTCATGTTTTGTTTTTTTCCTTCACTCTTCTTTTCTGAGGATCTAAAGGATATGCACTGTGGCTTTCCAGCCTACCCCTGCTCTGAATTCTCTGGCGTTTTAAGACAGCTGCTCTATTTAAATAGAATGGTGTTCTCATGAGTGCAGCTGCACTGTGTTTTCTCCTCTTTATTTTTCTTCTTTCTTCTTTCCTTGTCCATTTATAACTTCTTATTTACCATCTGTTCATACCTAGCTCCCTTTTCTATTAGAATGCTTCTTCTCTGTTTGGAAATCTTATTGGGATTAATCAGAAACTAGTAATCCCTTCTAAGAGAATTATGGATAGCAAGGTGGTATATTTTCAGAAATAATCATAATTTCATTATTTTGCATAAGCAGATAAAAACAGCTTTGGGGAGATTCCTTCTTGGGCATTATTTTCTATATTAGTAGGATTATCCTTATTGTCTGATTCTTTTCCCAAAGTTCAGTACAGTTTCCCTATGATGTTAAAAAATCACAGAAGAGAAAATGGTGCTCACTATTTCTGATTTATGACAGTAAAGAATCATTGCCATAACCAATCTAAACTATTTTTTAAAATACAAATGTTCTGTAATACTTGGAAATAAAGTTATTGAGCAGAAGGTAAGCCAGCGTAAAAATCAGTTTAGTTTTGTTAAAGCCCTAAACAGCTAAAAGACAAGAACTTGAGACATAAAGTTTATATTTGCCTTTTATTAAGAACCTCATCCTTTTGGGAGCAGGGCCAAGATGGCAGACTAGAAGCAGCCTGCCCTCCCTGCTCCCGTGCAGAGGATCAGAAGTGGCGAGTAGACATTCACACTCAGATCAGTCGTCTAAAAGAGAGAATTGGAAATCAATGGAGAGGTGGTGGGAGGCACCCAAAGTGAAGGAGAAGGAAGTGGGGCAACCCACTGAACAGAACGCAAGGTACGAGGGGAAGGCACCCACGTGTGGGGAAGGGACAGAGGAGACAAGCCCAGGGCTCCATGCTCTCCCCACAGACATTGCAGTCGAAGCTCTGGGAAGGCCCCTTGACCAAAGCAGGCCACCACACTGACGCCGGGAGCTGACTGGAGACTGTGCAGCAGCACCACTCCAGAGGGAAGGCACCGTGGGGTACAGCTGACTCACAAACCTAGGGTACTTCCCCCAGTGCCATTTTGAGGTCCCAGCCCAAGAAGTGGATAGCCCGGGAGTCAGATACATTGCTGCTGCCTCCTCATCACCCCTGCTGGGCCAGGGACGCCAGGTGGGTGCCAGACATCCCCCACCACCACCAGGGACCTGGACGTAGCAGGCGCCCATGGACCTGGCACCTACTGCTGCCACCTGGGTGGCCCTACCCAGCCACACCTGCGCAGGGCCCAGAGAGAGAGTACACCCATGGCCCCAGATGCCTGTAAGCTGAGCAGGGTGAATACTCACACCCCCATGCTCCACCTACCCACCACCGTCCACTGACAAATGCTGCCAGGATCAGCCCTGGGCAGGGAGAACGCTTACGCTGCACACATGTGCCCACTGCCCATGACAGCCACAGAGGAATGGGGAGATGCAGAAGAACAGCAGTGTTGAGGGTTTACAGCACATCCACCCCTCTGCTGCATAGTTGGTCTTCTGGAGTAGGACTCAAGTGTGTTTTCGAGGTACCTCTCCTCCTCTTCACTGGGCAACAGAGCTCCTAGGGAAGAGAAGAGGTTTATCACAAAGCTCTCTGTCTTGAGATGAGAGAAGAGGTTTCAGATGGAAAGGAACCAGCATAAGAACTATGGCAACATGAAGAAACAGGCTGTTTCGACATCCCCAAAGGACCAAATAGTTCTCCAGCAATGGACTGCAATCAAAAGCAAATTGTTGAAATGTCAGATGTGGAATTTAAGATGTAGACGGCAAATAAGAGCAATGGGATTGATGAGAAAGTTGGAAACTAGCACAAAGAAACCCAAAAATCAATTCAGGACATGAATGAAAAATTCACTGAAGTTATAGATAATATAAGAAAAGATATAACAGAACTTCTAGAAATGAAAGAATAATTTAGGGAATTCCAAAGTATAATAGAAGCTTTAACAGAAGACTAGACCAAGCAGAAGAAAGAATTTTAGAGCTTGAAGACAAGGCTTTCCAATTAACCCAGTCAGTCAAAAAATGTAGAAAAAGAATCAAGAATAATGAACAGTCGCTCCAAGAAATATGGCATTATGTAAAGTGAACAAATATAAGAATCATAGGTATCCCTCAGGGAGAAGAAAAAGCAAAAAGCGTGGAAAACTTACCTGAGGAAATAACTGAGAAAGACTTCTCTAGTATCACTAGAGATTTAGACATCTGAATACAAGAAGATCATCACACACCTGGAAGATTCATGGCAAATAGGACATCACCAAGGCACATAGTCATCAGTCTGGCCAAAGACGAAGTGAAGGAGAAAATCCTACGAACTATGAGATGAAAGCGTCAAGTAATTACAAAGGAAAACCCATCAGACTAATGCCAGACTTCTCAGCAGAAACCTTGCAAGCCAAATGTGATTGGGATCCCACTTTTAGTCATCTTAAACAGAACAACTGCCAGTCAAGACTTTTGTATACTGCAAAACTAAGTTTCATAAACAGAGGAGAAAGTCTTTCTCAGACAAGCAAACACTAAGGGAATTTGTCACTACTAGACCTGCCCTCAAGAAATACTTAGATGTGCTCTATAAATGAAAGAGAACAATCAATATCCCCCAATGTATGAACACCTGCAAGGTAAACTCACAGCTCTTATAAAACAGTAACATAAGGGAGAAAACAAAGCAACCGGGTAACAATCAACTTCATGACGAGAACATTATCTCAAATTTCAGTACTACAATTGAATATAAATGTTCTTAATGCCCCACTTAAAAGATATGGATTTCCTGAATGGATTTACAAAAAAACAAAGGCTAGCTTGAGCTCAGGAGTTCGAGACCAGCCTGAGCAAGAGCGAGACCCCTGTCTCTCCTAAAAATAGAAAAAATTAGCCTGGCATGGTGGTGCGTGCCTGTGGTCCCAGCTGCTTAGGAGGCTGAGGCAGGAGGATTGCTTGAGCCCAGGAGTTTGAGGTTGCTGTGAGCTAGGCTGATGCCACGGCACTCGCTTGGGCAACAGAGTGAGACTCTTGTCTCGAAAAAAATAAAAATAAGTAAATTAATTAATTGATTTAAAAAAAAAAACCCAAATGTATGCTGTCTCCAAGCAAGCCTTTAACTCGCAAAGATTCCCACAGGCTCAATGTAAAGGGTTGGGAAAAAATATTCCACGCAAATGGAAACCAAAAGCAAGCAGAAGTAGCTATTCTCATATCAACAATGGTAAAAAAAAAAAAAAAAAAAAAAAGTGATTATATAATGATAAAGGGAGCAATTCAACAAGAAGATAATAGCAGTCTTAAATATATATACACCTAATAAAGAAGTTCCCAGATTCATAAAACAAATTCTCCTGGATCTAAGGGAAGAAATAAACAGAAATATCATAAGAACTGGAGACTTGAAAACTCCACTATTAGAACTGGATAGATCATCAAAGCAGAAAATCAAGAAAGAAACACTGGACTTAAAAAGGACTCTAGAAGAAATGGACCTAACAGACATTTACAGAATATTCTTACCCAACACTGCAGAATATACATACATTCTTCTCATCAGTACATGGCACATTTTCCAAGATAGATCATGTATTAGGCCACAAAACAAGTCCATTCAGAAACACCGAAATCATACTATGTATCTTCTCAGACCAGTGGAGTAACACTAGAAATCAATTCCAAGAGGAACTCTCAAAACTACGCAAATTCATGGAAATTAAACAACCTGCTGCTGAACTATCCTTGGGTCAATGATGAAATCAAGATGGAAATCAGAAAATTTTTCAAATTCAATGACAAAGATCAAACAGGAGAGTGAAACTGGATCCCTTTCTCTCACCATATACAAAAAGTAACTCAAGATGGATTAAAGACTTAAATGTAAAACCACCATAAAAATTCTAGACGAAAATGTAGGAAAAACTCTTCTGGTCATTGGGCTAGGCAAAAAAGCTATGACTAAGACCCCAAAAGCGAATACAGCAACTACAAAAATAAATGGGACTTAATTAAACTAAAAAGTTTCTACACAGCCAAGGAAATAATCAACAGAGTAAATAGACAACCTACAAATGGAACAAAATATTCATAAACTGTAAGTCCAAACACAGGGTAATACCCACAATCTACACAGAACTCAAACAAATAAGCAAGATAACAAGTCAGTCAAAAAGTGGGTGAAAGACATGAACAGACTCTTCTCAAAAGAAGATATACAAATGGCAAAAAAACATGAAAAATATGGTCAACATCACTAATCATCAGGGAAATACAAATTAAAACCACAATGAGATATCACCTTACCCCTGTCAGAATTGCCATTATTATTAAGTCAAAAAACAATAGATTTTGCCATGGATGTAGTGAAAAGGGAACACTTGTACACAGTTGGTGGGAATGTAAACTAGTACAACTTCCATGGAAAACAGTATGGAGATTCCTCAAAGAACTAAAAGTAGACCTACCATTTAGCAATCCCACTACTGGGTGTCTACCCACAGGAAAAGAAGTCATTTTATT